GGGGGGGGGGGGGGGGTGTCACACTAGCAGGCTCCACTTCTTCGCTTCCCTTCTCTTGTTTCCGTCTGTCTGAGGGGGTTTTTTTCTGTCTTACTTTTCCCAGCACTAAATGACTATTATTCTATTGATATGCTTCTCGTTTTTTATCGTAGAGGGTTTTACGGCGCTCGCAACTGCATTAGGTCATATGAACGCCAAGTGCTTCTCTTTACTCAAACAAACAAACGAGAATACGTTGAAGCCATGGTAAAGCTGAATTTAATTCTATACCATACTTGGAGTTGTTTTAGCATTGCACTTCCGATAAAATAAATTCTTATATTTCTTATACATTATTTCACGTGAAATAATATTATAAGCTGATGATATCTCTTCCGTGAAATATAAAAATATGCATAAATTACTCCGCGCAATCTGTTCGCCTTCTAACCTCATGTAAGCAAAGTATAAACTTTGAATCATAGTATTCCTAGACCGTGCTATTTTATGGCAATCTTATCTCCCCCCCCCCCCTTAAAGTAAAGAGTAGACACAATTCTCCAGCCTACATTGCCCTTAATTTTGTTTCAAATTGAGCCAAATGGTGCGCCCCATAGTGAACCGGGATGACGTCAGAGTGCGGCGATGTATTTTAGTGCAATCCTAGCAAGTCTAGCCCTATGCTAGCAAAGGACTCCCATCCTTTGGTTTGTTTTGGTTGCTAAGTTTAACCCTATCCGTACGCCCTAGGGTCATTTTGTACCCCCGGGGTTGTATTCTTCACATTTTAGAATACTTCTAGTACGAGGATCTCTTTGAAACTTTCTGTATTTTTCAAATAAATTATTTTGACAGACTGCCATTCAAAGCGTACGGATCGGACTAACGAGTAATTTCCTCTTTGGAAAGTGGTGGCACAGAGTTCCACACGTCGTATTGATACGACAGTAAAACACGAAGTACGGATAGGGTTAAAATCATAGTCATCTCTATTCTCACCACAATATGCCTTATAAAAGCAGTTTCTTAATTTTTCAACTTTTGAAACGTACGTTTTCTGCTTGCTTTGCCTATTCTTACGTTATGATTGTTTTATTTCAGGTTTATTTTGCGGAGGGAGACAGGAGGATAAATCTATATAGCACAATAAAGGAAAACGATCCAGATTTTTTCAATCCACACTCTGACTCCGACGTGCATGAAAATAATAATATTGATTTCATGTAAGACTCTTGAATGGATCCTCTTGTCCAATTAATCGGCTAGAGCTCACAAAAGTGACGTCACACGTGTCAGACTTCCGTGCAAACTTCTAGATTTCCACCTTAGACCTCCAAGACGCCTCCACGTGAGTCTCGAAAAGTGCTCACTCGCCTGTTGAACTGAGCATAATGTATTGCCCTTGAGGTTAAGCGCCCAGGGGTTGGTATACGCAGCCCCCCGTTCGTTTTCTTGGGGGACATCACTGCCACGAACTCTAGTTCTAAATATAAATTCTTTGTGTTAACCCAGTAAATGCAAATGGAGACAAGCCAGGACGAACAAAACCAAACTAGAGCTATTCGCAAGTGAATCGAACAGAACCAAACCAAACCAAACAGAAAACGAGATCGAAGAGGACTGACTCGAAGCAAAGCCATGCAAATCGAGTCAAATCAAACCACAGCCTCTCCTGACTCTTTCTGTAGCCTTTCTCTACTGCTACCCCTTGACTTCTTCTTACTGCTGTCTTTCAGCCACATCCCTGATCTTAGGGTAGATAAGATCTAACGCATAGCCTTCTCAGATAAGGGCAAAAATTCTCGGAGGTCCCGTATGCAAGTCGCGCACGTTAAAGATCGCTTGGTGGTCCAAAATTGATAAGAGTAGGCTTCGGCCGCCACCCGGGCAAAATTCAAAATCAGTTCCTGCCAATCCGGAAATTTTAATTGTTAATGTGTCCCGTGCGCTGATATGACCTTATGTAGTTGCATGCCACCCACTCCCCTTCCCCCCTCCCCTCAAACAAACGAAAACAAACAAACAAACAAACAAACAAAAACAAAAACGAACCAAATGAAGAATAGACAACATGAAACGAGATCAAAGAGCACCGTCCCGAAGCAAAACACAAAGCAAATCGAGTCAAATCAAACCAGAGCCTAGGTCACCTCACCTGTCGACGGAGAAAACGAGCAGAAGACAGGCAGAGGACACAATGGTGACCGAGGTGGAGAAGTAGCGGGCACGGCACAGGTGCGCGGCATCAAAGTGCCAGAAATGGAACATAGCGTAGATCTCAGCTGTGGAGAAAGAGGGAGGGTCATAGTATGTATTTGTTTTGTTCTAGTAAGCATTTTACGGTATTTGCACTTGCAACACAGTATAAGGTCACATTATAAGTAAGTGCTAAGATGTTAGTATTGGGTCCTCATTCCCAACCCTGCGCGTCCGCGGGTCGTTAATAGGGGAAAGGCCTCTACATCAGCTTCTGAGTCTGAGCTGTCGCGAACCAAATGGGAGATGGTCGTGGAGAGTGGAGGAGAACTCTGGTGGCACGGGTGCTTCAAAAAATACCTCATACTCTCGAAGAAGGGACCATCTTAGCTACGAGAGGCGCCATAAATCATCATCATCATCATCATCATCATCATCATCATCATCATCATCATCATCATGAGGCATACAGTACAAGCAGCCATTTATAGGCACTAAAACACTAACATACTGACAAGATTTTTCGCTGTCTATGGCCCAGGAAAATTCATGTAAAGTGCCTTTCTCAAGGACACAGCGTCGGGCCCGCGGCTCGAACGCCCCAAACTCGCAACCTCACAATTACGAGTCCGGTAGCCTAATCACTAGGCCAAAGCCCCCCCACTGCCTTGGGGGTTGTCAGTGGACGACAAAGGCTAGCCGAGAAAATGTACCCAAACAGGCAATAGGCAACGGGGAACCACTACTGTAATCTCCCAAGAAAAATAATGGAAAAGAAGAAGAAAATTTATTTATCAGATAGCAGCGTTAAAGGGGTTCATGATCCAGCTCCTGAACTCCCCACTCGGTAGGGACCGCCAAGGGAAACAGGAGGCGCCCGATTGTCATCCAGCCACTGACTGCAAAACTAGAATCAAACAACTTAACATAACCACATGGAATGTGAGAACAATGCACAAGAATGGCAAATTAGAAAGTATAGAACAGGGAATGGATAGGAATACAAACACCAAAAAACAAAAACAAGACAAACAAAAACTTTAAAAAACAACGACAACTAATCAAATAAATACTTTCAAGCCGCACCTCCCCCCCCCTCCCAAAAAAAAAGAAACTACTACAAAAACAAAAATAAAACAAAACAACGACAAAAAAAACTCACTCACCAGGAATAGCCGTCATATTGGTAAAGAGATCAAACCCAGCGATCGCCATGATGAAGACCAGAGCCGACTTTCCTCGGACCTTCCGGTAGTAGACAATCAGAACCAAAATGTTCCCAAAGAAGCCCACCACAGCGAAGCAGACGAGGAGCACGATGGTGGGAAGCATAATTCGTGTCGTGTACTCCTGCAGTTCGGCGAGGTATGCCATTCTCTCTGTGTCTGTGACATTGTTGAGAGCGTCGTCGTCTACTATAAGACCATCGGTTGACGTTTCGAATGCCATGTTGGGAAATCTGCGGTGGCTATAATGTCTTTACTTTTGTAATCTATTCCTTCCTGTGGTATCCTTAGGATGTCGAGGGGGCCTATAACATAAAGGATAACATGAGTCAAGGTGGTAGATCATGATTTATCATAAAAGTTCATTGTTCATTGTTTCAGGAAGCAACATCCCTGCACTCCGGACAAGTCCACTGATGCTCCGTTGCTCTCTGCAAAAAGTGGCCGAGGGTCTTTCATAAGAGTGAAATTGCCAAGTTGTAATCATGAGGTTCGTTGAAATTCGTGATTACAACTTGGCAATTCTGCAAGTAGGGGAGGGGGGTAGGGGTGAGGTATGGGTTTGTGTGTGTGTGGGGGGGGGTGGGTGTAAGTGTATGTGTATGCGTGTAAGAGTAGTAACATGTGAGTGAATGTGTATGTGGGGGGGCGCGGGCGGACTGTTTTCTTTCAATCTGAGTTGAGAGGTCAGGAATATGGCTTAGTACACCCATTGCAAAGATTCTCTACTACATGATCTTTGCCCATGGTTCATATCTATAAATAAAACGGTTATCTTGAAAAAAAGTGTTTTATTGGAGATTTAAGACAGTTTTTATGTGTATTACTACCATCTTAATCCCCACCACCACCATTATCATCGCCATAACCAGCATCTACACCACCATTGAGCTACTACTATAACGTGTGTAATAAATTCTTCATAAAAGAATCATATTTCATCAAATTTGGATCTTAGTCCGATTGTTATTCGGCGCCGGCAGTTGGGGGGTGGGGAGGCGACAAATCGTAGGCCTTTCTTCTCTTCCTTACCTCTATTTTTTTCTGTCTGTTTGTCTTACTCTTTCTCTGCACTGAATTCTGCCACTCATGATTCAATACGCACCTCTTTACTTAAATGAACAAGCAATGATTTTTTGAGTTGACGTCTCTTCCAGTGATTCAGAAAAAAATATGATTTTAAAATAACATTAATTACTGAATCCACGATTTGTTGATTGCATTTTTCATCTGCTGACACAAGACATCTGAAGACGGTTTGTTTGAAGCTGAAAGATGCTAAAGAAAAATTATATCATACTGTAAATCCAGACCATTTTTTAAATGGCAACAGTTAACCAAAGAATGAAGCCAACAGTGAGCATAACCAAAATAATTATGTGGTATAAAAAAAGAATGCAGGTTAAAGAAACACAATGTCTCAAATCCATGTCATGAAAACGGTATTATAACGAGGACAGCGTGATACACCAAAGGCAAAAATAAGTACTCAAAACTACCACAATGGGAAATAGGAGTAGAAGGTTAAAAACATAGGTGAAGTAGTGTCCAAGAGGAAAAAACCCGTGACTAAACTGGAATTAAAACAAGTGCGAAATGAGACATTTTTTAAAATGGCCCTTTTTTTTAAAAATTGTGATTCCAGCTCTAATTCCTTGGATACCAATATGAAATATTGCTTAGAATTGCCATTGACTATGTTCATGAACATGGCAAAACGTTCCTTGACCTTAAATTGAGGTTTTCAAAACTGCCCAACCCATAGAAATTTTACAGCTGTTTTGTAAATCCTGCTCACTAAGCAAACGTGGCAAGATCCGCGACACATACATTATGTTTTTTAAAACATGCCTAAGGATAAAAGTCATGGCTGCAGGGATTAAATATTTCAGAGTATTGGACAGCAATATTGAAGCAAAAAAATCTTGGTGCCCATCCTTGTCTTATATTTGTGAAGCATCGGGGTGAAATCAGGCGCTCGTCAAAATTATGAAATCGAAGATATCGGCATTTTCCTCCAGTTTGACTTTTTTTTCTCTTTCATTTTTTTCTTAACACCTTGCATGTCCATTTAAAACATATTTCTGCCCAGCAAATGTAAATTTTCTCAAGGACTCTCAAGCTCTGGAAATCACCAAACTTTGGAGCCATTTCCACATTAATTTTACCTATGAAACCAAGCAATCCCATCCTCCTTCAATGGCAAATATCTCGACTTCTACACAAGATTGGCGTGTATTTTTTTCACCATAAGATGGTCAAATGAACTAGCTTCAAGATGATACCAGTAACCCAATAACACCGGATGCCCAAATAACTGACGAACGCCTTGTGATACATTTGTTATTGAACTCTTTATCTCTATATTTTGCTTAACCCATTTCAAACTTCTCTCCTATTACCCTGCATTTCACAAAGATGAATGTTCCCTAGATCTAGATTTATTTTCTTTGAGATTTTACACGTGAAGACTCCCTTCCTGTTCCTTTATATGACCTGAGACAGCAGAGCTTATGCAGTGCACGATTAAAAGAGACAGAGCCAAGTTCAACCCAACATGGTGGGTATTTTAGTTTAGTTTAGTAAGGTTTTTAAGGTGGTCGCAACTGCATAAGGTCATATGAGCGCCAGTGGATGGATGTCAACAGAAAAATCCAAACGGGGAATCAGGTTTTTTCTGCTAACCTCTCTAACCTCAACAGCACAAAGTCTGCTTCGACTATCAAGGCAGCCCTCGAAATAGCAGTTCACAAGAGAGTGACAAACACAATAAAGAAGTAGGGGGAACATGACAATAGTAAGGGTGAGGAAAGAAAAAGCAGCAGTTCCCCCTATATTGTTTCAGCACAGTATGAGCATTGAGCATGACATTGATAAGTCAGCCCATTTACAATTCTACTGGGCATACGAGCTTGTTAATATCCCCCTTTGGGAATGGCCTTAAGACACTTTAGTCAGTGGCATTGCCCGGAGGGGGGGGGGTGAATATTTGAGCTTACATATCCCTCCTGTTACCAGGGTCTAGAACTACTTATTATACAGAAATCCGATACACTCTCCTTTGTTTAGGAAGTTTGCTACGGTTACATTTCAAAGGTAAGACTAACCATAACATGAGCTCTACCCGGTTGATGGTCGTCAGGGTAACGATGTGCAGATTTCCCTCCTGTTACTTTCCCTGCTGTTACCCGAGTTTTGGAAGCAGGAGAGAATAAAAAAGTAACAGGAGAGAAGGAAATGTACCAACAGGAGAGAAGTAAATGTACCAAATACCTTAACTGACAACAGTTTAGGTTAGAATGTGAGATAGTCCACGCTTAATAGAGTAAATGAAAAAGGTAAAGACTAAAGGCATGTTTCCAATAGAACGCCTGAATTGTAAGTTTTATCTTTGGATAACGAGACGGAATAGAGAGGAACAGGAGAGAACAGAAGATAATTGGAAGGAGCGGCACTTGTCAATTAATAGCTAAACTGACCAAAATTCGGGTTGAAAGATGGTCATTTATGCTTAATTAGCAAACAAAACAGAACAGCTATTTTATGAAAGATGTGTATGTGCTTTTTCAACAAAACTCATGGATTGTGATTCTATCATTAGGTAACAGGATGAGTATGAGACTGAGAGCGGTAGCGAGAGAACAATAGAATAAAAATGAAAGTCAAAACCATTATAATGCAACATACTTTTGTTATTCCAGAGTGTAGAACCTTCTATGTAGATTATATGTTATCAAAGACTTCTAAGTAGTCGTGAGATTGCAGGTTTAGGGGTCCAAGCCTCAGCTTGGTCCAACGTCGTGTCCTTGAGAAAGACACTTTACCCGAATTTCAAATCTACGTCCTTTCGAAGATGGACGTTAATCTCGGAGGTGCCTCCTCTGAAACAACTTTACCTGGGCTTTAAACCTATACCATTTCACCATTTTCACCAAAGAGTTCTAAAAATGCAGGTGTAGATTAATATATTTTATTTAGTTGCAGATTTATACGTGCATTTTGCGCTGTTGCAGAGGCTTAGATGAAGACTAAAGTAAGAAATGAGAATCTTCTTCGCAGAAATTTTTCCACACAGGAAACCAGCTTAGCTTAGTTGAATTCAGCACTATGGCACTTATGCTTGATCTAGATTAATTGTATGAAGGCGAGGGGCATGCCCTATTGATCGTTGATTTCTCAAGTAGGACTTTTAATAAACATTTGCTATTCTTCCCCAGGTCAGGTCAGACTTAGTGCTGCTACCATAAAGATAGTAGATGGTACTACCTGCAGCTGTTTCTACTGCCTTGTGGGTACACATGGAAGTATGAAAGGCTATGGGGGTAAACTCTTTTTAAAATCCGGAGGAAGGGCCCCTAAGGCAGTCGACAGGGAGGGATAATCCAAACTATCCTCTGTTATCCACTGCAACTTAACTAGTTCCAAATGTATTGACCTCGTCGAGAGGGGGTTCATGCAAATTGGGCAAGGCGCGTTCTCCGTACAGTCAGGCCCACAGCTAAGTCAAGATCTCAATATTTCTGGGAGGACGCTGTAAAAGAGCGAATACGGTGGATCAGACACACAACGTAACCACAGGTACAGCAGCATTTATATGACTATGGAGAGGACACTTCATCCTTGCTGGAAAAAAAAACAATGGAGGTGGCAGCTTACGGATTATAAGACGTCCTTATTTGGCGAAACAGAATGTCGCCACAGGTCACCTTTGACAATGGGAGTGACAATGCAGTCGCACTGATCAACTACCGCCCGTCTCGTCTCAAACTGAACAGCCCCCTATCAGTAAGGTGCTGATCCATCATGGTTGTTTGCTTCTATGGGTGTATGGAGCAAGGACAAAAACCGAAAAGCAGGCGTTAAACCCAGCACCAGGCAAAAAAAAGAGTAAAACTATCCCCAGGAAAACTGAGGAGCTGGAATGTTAGAAAAATGATAACTGGGTTGAATACTACCAACCTGGAGAAAACAGAGGACATCAGAAAGACAGCAATCATAGAGAGGGAGCTCATACGACTCAATGTAGACTTCACTGCCCTGCAAGAGACAAGACTTGCTAACTCTGGTACCATCAGGGGAAAAAGCTACATATTCTTCTGGAAGATACAGAGGTATCTCACTGCTAAGCATCACTGGAGAAGCTTGTGCTAGACCATCCTGAAGCGACTTCAGAAACTAGCAGAAAGAGTCCTACCAGGGAGCCAGTGCGGTTTTAGATCAAACCGCTGAACAATGGACATGATCTTTTCTATTTGTCAGCTACAAGACAAAGGCTTTCGATACAGTCAGTAGATAAGGAATGTAC